GTCTCCAGACATGCGCTTAAATTCCCCAAGTCTTAGTTTCCTCATCTGTCAAATGGGAGATGATAAAAGGGGAGACTTCCTAAGGTTGCTGTGAGGATAAAAAGTGAGGTAAAGAATGCCAAGCAGTTCTCACAGAGCCTAGCATATGTTGAGCACTCAATAGCTATTATTATTAGAGCATTTGAAAAAAAATCACTTCTTCCAGCTAAGATAATGCCATTAGTGCAGATAGAGGATGCTATTTCTGCTTGTCAGAGGAGCCAAAAGGCTTCAAGCCAGAGATGGCTAGAAACTAAATTACCTGTCCTCTGGATGTTCTTTCCTTCTGGCTCCAGCTCATAGAAGTAAACAGGTAAAGAAAGGTGGAGGCCACAGACAGGACCTTATCCAGGAGACCCTGGTGGGAACTTATGGGTTAAGTAAAAACATGCCTTTTATAGAATCTTCTTTAACTTAAAAAGGAGAAGCTGAATTTCAAAGTGAGCAGATAGATTTTAATATTTAAATTCAGATATGCACATTTATCCTGTGCTAACTGGCACCCTGGAACCCTCTTTGGGAATGGGGTGACCAGTAGACGGCAGTTCAAAGTTGGCTATAAAATGCCAATTCTAATGTTGGGAGCTTTATAAAATGATGTAAATAGTTACTGATATAAATGATGTAAATAGTTACCCCACCCAGTCTTAGCCAAAAAAAAAAAAGGCACTTCAGTCTTCTTCTACCAAGAGAGACTAGAAGAAAAAAAGCATTGCTGGCTGGGAGCAGCAAAGAACAGATAAAAACCAACAACAAACAACCTAGAGCTACAGGAAGCATTGCTGGGCGGTGTCTGTGGTAGAGACCAAGGGGCAGGAGGAGCAGTCAGGAAGGGGAGTGAGAAGCCTAGCAGCATTCTTTACTGCCCCTCTGTTTACATACCATGCAAGGTGCTAAGAGGTCCAGGGGTGTAGGAAAGCCAGTCTCCACAATGAACACCTGGCAGCATTTTTAGCACACGCTACAAGGAGATGCTTGAATGAATGCATGATACTAGCACTCACCTGGAAGTGTTAATATAATGGGACCATGAGAGCCTTCCATTAAAGAGTAGTACACAAGTGTTACCCTCAGCCAGCAAGGACTGGGCTGGGGGATACCCAAGACTTCTCACCCCGAAGATTCCCCACAGCAGAAAAGCACTCCTTTGCATGGCCTTTATTGGCCTGCTGCCCTTCTGTGTCTCACTCCCCAACCCCTCACCCAGGATCATTGCTGTCTTCATTTCCTAGGCTGCTTTAACAAATATCACAAAGTTGATAGTTTAAAAGGACAGAAATATATTTCTCCCTGTTCTAGAGAATCAAAGTGGCAGCAGGCCTGCACTCTTCTGAAGGCTCCAGGAGAGAAACCGCCCCACTCTCGCCTCCTGTCAGTTTCAGGGGGCCCAGGGATGGCTGCATCATTCTGCCCTCTGGCCTCCTCTCTCCAGAGGCTTCTTCTTTGTGTCCATATCTTCTTTTGTTCTAAGAACGCTTGTCATTGGATTAAAGGCTCACCCAGGTTAGCCAAGATGCTTGCCTGGCTTGAGATCATTAATTTAATTACATCCACAAAGATTCTTTCCAAATACAGTCACTTTCACAGGTTGTGAGAGTTAGGACAAGAATCTATCTTTTGGGAAGCCACTACACTTGCCAAATAACATCTTACATTCAAATTCTCACCCCAGATTTTGCTTTTGGTAGAATTCAAGCAAAACCAGCAGCAAAAGAAATCCTGGTTTTCTAGTCCAGGCAGATCTCATTAAAAACACACCAAACAAATATCTCTTAAGATTTAGAGACCATCAATGCCTGCTTGATGCAGTACTGTTCCCTAATATTAAGCATTCAGTACCTGGCATATAGTAAGCACTTGAAAAAATTTTTGGTGAGTGAATCCCAGATAGGAAAATGAACTTTGTATTTTTTCTCAAGATTTTTTAACAACTTTATTGAAGCATAATTTATATACCACAGATTTGCGCACTGTACGTATACAAATATAATTTTTTTAAAGATTTATTTTTAGTTAGTTATACATATAAGAACTGGGGTAAAGGCCAGAGTCATGGGGGATGAGAGGATTCACCAGAGAGAGAGTGGGGAACAGAACAGGCAGATTTACTGAAATACAGAGGGCAAGATAGGAGAGGTCTGCTGCTCCATGTGGGTCAGCTCCCTGGCTGGGGGGATCAAACTCATGCTGCAGTGGCTGGCAATAGCTTGATAGCACTGAGACTTTAATCCCTATGCCACCAGGGAGGCCCTACAAACAATACTTTTAATAAGTTTGGACCTCCCTGATGGCACAAGGGGTTACGTCTCAGCACTCTGAAGCTATCAGCAGCCACTGCAGCACGAGTTCCATCCCTGGCCAGGGAGAAAAACCACATGGCACAGAAGACCTCTCCTGTCTAGCCCTCTGCTCCCCTCTGCAGTGTATTTCAGTCAATCTGCCTGTTCTGTTCCCCACTCTGGTGAATCCTCTCACCACCCCTGCACCTCTGGTCTATACCCCAACTCTTATATGCACAAATAGTAAAATATATCTTTAAAATAAACAAATAAATTTATAGTGTTATGATCATCACCACAAAAAGCTCCCTCATACTCATCTGCAGCCAATCCCTGCCTTCACCCCCAAACCTAGGCAATCACTGATCAGCTTTCTGTCTCTATAGATCTCCCCTCTCTTGACAGTTCATTAAATGAAATTATTTAATATGTAGTCTTCTGCTTCTAATCTCTTGCACATATCATAACGTTTTTGACATTGATCCACATTGTAGCAGTTATCAGTTCATTCCTTACTACTGAGTTGTATCCCATTGTATTGATATGCCATATTCTGTTGATCCAGTAACCACCGATGGATATTTGGAGTAGTTCCAGCTTGGAGCTATTATGAAGATGCTATAAGCATTCACAAACAAGCCTATGTGCAGACATATGTTTTCCTTTCTCTTGAGTACATACCTAAGAGTGGAATTCAACCTTTTATTTTGAAAATCTTCAAGTCTATAGAAAAGTTGAAAGAAAGTACATTATCCATCCTCCCCCTCAGTTCTCAATGGGTAACCTTGGGCCATATTTGCTCTGTCTCTATAAAACATGTTTTACATGCCATTTGATAAGAAGTTGCAGACATGGGAACACATTACCTCTAAATACTTCACTTGCAGCCACCAAGGCCATTTTCCTGCATAGCCACAGCACCATGATCCCAACTGAGACTTTTCTCCAACTTTATTTTGAATTTTGCTAAACTATAGAAAAGTTGAAAGAATACACTGAAGTGACTCTTGACTGTGCTTCCCATATTACTGCTTTGTCCCCTCTTTGTCAAATCTTTCCCCTGCCACTGTTCCTCAAATATTTGTGTTGGGTCTTTCTAGGTGCACTGTCCATGGAGTATTTCTGACTTACCCTGCTCTCACTCTTCCATGGCTTATTCCCTGAGTTTTCAGGGCGGCTTTCACAGACTCCAAGTTACCTCTAGTGTGTTGTCCTGAGGGAGGTTGCAAAATTCTCAAAACTTCCCTCATCTCCTTCAAGGTCTGACTCAGATGTCAGCTACTTGACACCGCCCCTCCCCCATGCTATTACAAATTTCAACTCATCTCCCTTAAATCCCTTATACGCTGTCTAGTTTTTCCCTAAAGAATGTGTCAACTTCTAACATAAGGTATAATTCACATTAATCAATTTCCTCCTCGCACAGGAGCATAAGCAGAAATAGAACCATGACAAAAATGCGTGTCTTTATGTTCACTGCTGTATCCCCAGGCCTGGTTTCAGCAGCTGGCATACTCAATAAGTAATGGTAGAAGGAATGAACAGGGGATGTGGTAGGGATATGAGTGGGCCTACAGGCTGTACCCCGTCAGGAAGAGGGGGACTGGCTGACCCTGGGCCAATCACCCCCCCAAACCCCCCCCCACACACACATGTAGAAGGCTTCAGTAAAACCACCAACCCCTGAAAAACAGCAAAATGAACACCCCTCCCCCAACTTCAGTAAAACAGACCGGAACTTTCCAAATAGGAAGTCTCCCAACACTTTTCTGAAGAAAGATATTTTTTGCCTCAGAGAGTAACTCTCCAAGGACCACAAAAGCACGGAGCCCAGCCAGCCCTGGATTTCCTGGAGAAGACAAATACCACGCCCAATGTATCCTTAAAAGGCCCTTCCTGGAACTCCACGTAGCACCTGTACTGGGCAGCCCAGGTCCACAGTCCAAACCTCTCCACTCACTTGGACAGAAAACAAAAACCTAAACTGAGTGGTGGGCTCTTCTGTGGACGGAAATCAGCCAGAACCTCATTCCTGGGAGCCTGAATCAGGAACCAGAGAGGGTCCTGCCATCAGGGACAGAGAGGTTGACAGGAAGCTGACATGGAAGCTTTGTGTACAGAGGTGGTGCTGGAGAGGCAGTGAGCCAGGGGAATTATGAGGAAGTAAAAGCTATGAGGTAGAAGAAAGCCCTTTGAAGAATAGCAAGTGGGTGAAGAATTCCACAAATCCCTGTTTCTAACATTCCTTTGACTGCCCTGGTTGCAGGAGGCTATCTGTCAACTCTCTGAGACAGCTGACTAGTTCAAGAGTCTTGCTTCCAGAAGTTTCCATCACTTTCACGGCTTTGTAATTTCTTTACCACAAACCTTTCACTTGAACTGGGTTGAGACTCTATTCTTTGCAACCCAAAGAATCAAAGTAAAATAGAAATTTGTGGGTACTTATGGTGTCTAAGAGATTGTAGAGTAAGACCAAATTCCTGGTCCCTACCCTCCAGGAGCTTTTTGTCCTCTTTTCATGTCCCCTGCAGTACTCCACAGCCTCGCCATGCAGAGTGTGCTCCAAAACACACCTGTGTGGGCATTGCCTGGGACATGTTAAGAAGCAGAAGACAGGGCGCCACTCCAGCCTCCATATTACTTGCAAGAACATTAAAGTTTGAGAAGTAGTTTCCCCTCCAGCTTACAGTCCCAAACTCAACATCCCAATTACCTCTTCAGTCCTGGGGTCCCCTCTTGTCACTGATCAAATAGCCAAAATCTTTGATACATTTGGGGTAGCAAAGCCTATAAAATGCAGGCTTCTGGAAGCTGTTCCTTGGCCTTTGTCCTTCAGATGTCTTTCATTAGATTTTGTTTGCAGTAGTATTGTAAATGCTTATCTTTTTTTCAGAGGTTCATCCTGTTTTGGTAAAGTCCTCCTGAGTAAATCCAAGAATTGAGGGAATCTGTTCCTCTACCCTGATCTTTACAACTGTAGATGATCCCTAATGAGCATTTTAACTACATTCTTTCAACATTCTGTCATCCTTGAGAAGTATCTATAGTTTCAGGTTACAGCTTGCTTTCATCTCAAAACAGCAGAGAAAGAAAAAACATCGAGATGAAACACTGAGAAATAAAATGAGACCATTTGTCCAGAGAGATTCATGTTTCAGTTTCCTCAACCACATGCTTTTCAAGTATCCACAGAGTGAGGTCAGGATTAGCTACACCCGCTACATTTGCAAGCCTGGGGGCAGGTCCTTAGCAAAGGGCTCTGGAGAAGGCTGAAACTTTGTGTGCCCCTCCCTCTGATTTTAACTTCCTACCTTTCCTCCAGGGCTCCCCCTTTTTTTTTAAATGCCCTTTACACATCCTTCCTTCCTCTCAATCTTAAGTACTGAAGGCTGACAAGGGGCCACACGCTGTGCTGGGTACTGGACTATAGCCATAAAGAAGACAGACGTGGCCACCCACCTCGTGGAGTCTTCTGAAGGGAGCACTAAAGATCAGTTATAATGAAATCACTTCAGTTAGAAGTCTCATGTAGGAGAATGGCAGGGTGACAGGAGAGTATCTAAGAGCGGATTTGACCCTGAGCTACCTTGAGGAAAGGATGACTGAGCCAAGACCCAAAGGATGACCAGTGGCCGGCCAGGGAAACAAAGAAAGGGCCTCCTTGCTCCCTGCCTAGCTGCTTAACTTTCCCTCCAGCTCTGCCCAAGGGCATGCCCACCTGGCATCTCTGGCTGTTGACTCCTTGCTGACCTTGCCCAAAGCCCTGTGGTGCTGACTATTCAACAGCTCAAGCGTGGACATTTGCCCTGGTCTTGTCCGTACCCGACCTTGGCCTGGGCCCTTTCCACCCCACTTCTCCCATCTTGGTGCTGACAGTTCACAGGATCTCCACCCAGATGGGTAGCAGGATCACTTTCCTTTCAGTTCATCAGAAAGCTCTTTCTTTCCAAACAGAATAATTTTTTGCTCTCAGGACAGTAACTCAAGCTCAGAGCAGGGTTTGTGTGTGTGGTGTGGTCAGTGGTTGTGCAGGAAACCATTTCTAACGCAGCTGCATCTTCTCATCGCCAAGCATCCTGCTGGGTCTCGGGGGCACAGTGAGCAGGAGAGCCTGCTTGCGGGTTCAGGTCGGATTGCATCTTGCTGATGCCCTGGTGCAGGCTGATGGAGACGGGAGTGAGTGATATTCCCACATGCCTCTCTCCAGGTTATCCCCGCAGCTGCTGAATTCCTCTCTCCCGCTGAATAAATTCAGTTGTTTTGCCAACTGGACTGCAGCTTCTCTTTTCTGAACGTCATGGGCATATTTTGGGGTTTCTGGGAACAGGTGCTGCAGGAAGCGCGATTCATTTGTTTATTAGGCTATTCCCCTGTGTTTTGAAAAACAATTTGAAAAGGAAAAATGGCCGATTTTGATGCCTTTTGCTTTTCTCATCAGGCCCTAAGCTACGAACAACTGTTATTACCTTTAGTTTACAGAATCCCCATCTGGTTAGGTACTTTGATTTATGTTGGCTAAAAGCCAGAGTGGCTGATTTGGTTTATTTTAAGGACTTTTATTTTAAGAAACTTTTGACATTTAAGAATTTAATTGGAACAATCTGTACCCAGAAACTTTCAAATGTAGTCTAGGATTAAAAGATGTTCTTAAGAGTGTGGAGGGTTTTAGAAGAAAGCAGGACTTTCCAGACCTGGCTAGTCTTCATGCTTCGGGAATTTTTTGAGAGGGGGCAGGCAAATGCTCACGCTCGAAGTTCCGACAATGATGAGAAAGGACAGACTGGCTATTTCTGTCTTAATTTTTTAAATATGCAAAATACTTTTCCAGTTTTATTGAGAGATAATTGACATATATCACTGTATATATTTAAGGAGTACAGATGGTTATTCCTAAAAAGTATATTCTAACCCTCATACCCATTCCTTACAGAGTTTGAGGGGGGTGGTAAAACAGTGCACCACAAGCCAGTTCTGGAAAATTCTGGAAATTTAAATATCAGTTCTCAGGGATATGAAGGGCATGTGGTCTTACCACTCAGCCCACTCTCCTCCAGTGTCAAGCTTAAACCATGGTGCATTCAGAAAACCTGCCACATACCCTTGATCAAAGGTCAGATTTTCCTGGTGCTGAGAGAGAAAGAAGAAAGAACCACTACTGAAATTGGAAGGTTTGAAACTCCCAAGAAACATCTCAGTTTCCATGAATTGGCCTGAATCTTCATGGATATTTGACACAGTCCTCCAAATTCAGGGTACTTTTGAATAACAACTAATCCACAATTCCTGAGATTGCTGCTTATTGAAGCAAAGAGCTTCCCAGATTCTAAGAGGAGAACAAGAGAGGGAGAAACCAAGACCCCTCAAGCCCAGGAGCTCACACGTGATGGAGATGAGCCTGGGGGCAAACATTACCTCTAGCCCCTGCTTCCACCGCAGCTGCCAGTTGCTACCACCTGCACACAACCAGCACTGGGGCTCAGAGGGCTTCCCCTGTTCTTCTACTTCCCTATTTTTCCAGATGGCACCTCCATTCTCCTCCTCCCGGCTACCGTCTCAGTCATTACTCACCTCACTTCACTGCCATCAGACTCCGTCACCGAGTTCATGTTCTTGGTCCAGTTTCTTGTTCTCTCTGATCCTCACGCTCATCATCTATTCCAATAAACACATATCCACAGATTTTTGTATAGAGTGCCTCAGATGTCAAGAGTTTGAACTTTATTTGGGACACAAAGGGGGAATAAAAGGTTTTGAACATTGATGGGTCAGACTCCATTAGATATTTTATATTGATGTTTCGGACTTAAGGAACATATCCCTCCCTCAGCTTCTCATTTGCAACTCCTATTATTCTCCTACTTGTATTTACTCCAGGCAAATTAGAGTTTTATTCTTTCTTAATCGAGCAAATGTGCATTCTTTCCTAATTCTTTTCTTCCATCATACTCTTCTCTCTTCCTGGCATATCCCACTCCCACCAGCTTTTAAGGTGCATCTGTGGCATACTGGTAAGTATTTAACAACAAGCTCTCAGACAGTAAGATCCCTGATTAGTGGGATTTACTAGTTTTCATCATGTAAATACTCCCACCATGGCCAACTTCAAGCCACCAACTTGATATCAATTTGCTCACAAAATGTCTGGAAATTTAGATGCCAGTTCTTAGGGACCCGAATGAACTGACCAGGAATCACTGAGCTGCCAGTGTCCCCTTCCCTGATACTGCTGTTATAGGGCAGCCCAATATTGAACGGGTTCCTGGCTGTGGGTCCTCACCCGTGCGCTTAAAAGGGACTTGTTAATACTCCACTACAGGCACACACAAAAGGTTAATAAAAGGTTTATTTACAAGGGAAAAGGAAATAAGGAAAATGTACAACTCAGGGAGAAAATAGGGAAATAAAGTCTTTAACGCGTCCTACCCGATCAGCCGACGTGGAAACCCAAAAAGCACTCTCCGAGCTGGCTGGATGCTGCGAGCTGGCGGAGAGTCAAAATGGGGGACTCTCCAAAGCCCACGTGTCTGGCTTTATACCAACCTGGCTGCTTAACCCCACCCTCAGGTCCCAGCCACCTTCCCTTTGGTGGTGATGGGATTTGGAGTTCCCAGTGTCTTTGGCTTTGGCCTGGGGTGGGGGTGGAGTCCACAAAGCCTATATGGAATTAGCTTTAGGACATCCTTTTCCCCCCCTAACACCCCCACTTCATACAAGGCTTTCCCTTCTTTGCATTTTGTTAGTAATTTGAACTCTTTCAGAAAAAAATAGTTATTATGATTATAATAAATGCCTGTTATCATTAACTTTTCAAGGGCATGAACTGCGTGTTACTCATCAGTGTATTCACCACGTTGTCTAGAACAATAATGGTGTTCAGTAAATATTTTCTACATTAGACTGATGATGAAGATTATCACTAGGGCCTGACACACAGTTGTGGGGCAGATGTAATGACATCATGAATATAAAGCACTTACCAGAGCACTTGGCCTGGGGAGCGCTCAATTAGAGACAGCTAATTATACAATCAACTGTGGCTTCTGGAATTAAGGGAGCACAAAATTTAAGTTCTAACAGTGGTTCTCAACAACTTCCCCCAACAGCAAATATGCATACATGATAATCACCCAGGGAACTTTCACAAATCCCTATTGCCGGGCAGTGAGTCATACATCAGTATTTAAAAATCTCCCCAAGTGATCTGTTCCCCAAGTTTGAGAACTGCTATCCAAAATGCTTCCAATCTTCTCCCTGGATGATGAGTCAAGAGGCAAAAAGGAAACAGAATCAGCTATTCCTTTAAAAATCCTCCTGTTCACCAAACAATTCCAGTAAATAGGAGGAAAACGCACTTGCAGCTTTGCCTTATTTGGAGATAGTGTGGGGTGGAGTCACCTGGGAGGGAAGGGCTGAGCATGAGTAATGCAGCCTCTGTAGGGACAGGAGAGAAATACCTCTTTGTCAGCAAACTCCTGTAAGTGAAATTTCTCAAGCTGGTGAATTTTAGAGGCATCTCATTTAAGCTAGATTTGGTCCTTGTGATGATCCATTGCCAATGAAACAGAAATAAAGTTTATTTCAATAAGCATCAGTATATTTATACCAAATCTTTTGTTCCACTAGAATTTTATTGTATTAAGTTTCAAAATGATTCTTCTCCTCGTATTTATGGTAATGAGAATGGGCTTCCATGTAAGTTAGGAAAGTAATGCATGTCTGTAGGGTAAGGTAAAAGTATCAGGCTTTTCCACCCTCCCGCCATTAGGATGGATGAGGGAACCCTGTGGCCCTGAATGCATGCCTGATGGCAGGCACCTGAAGTGGTACACCTGGGCTGAGAGACTGAGTTTATAAGGGCGGCATCACCGGGACGCCAGCAGAAGCCAAAAACGAACGGAAACCGAGAGAAGAAGAGAAGCAGAGAGAACGCCAGAGAGCCCAGAAAGAGTGAGGATTTGCTGGGGGCTGGGAGCACTGCCAGCCTCCCGGCCCCCCAGCACCCCTGCCTGCCATGGTGTAAATCTAAATAAAAAACCTGCAAAAGCCACTGAGGACTCTGACTCCTCCTTTACCCGGTCTGCTGGATCAGAAAACCTGCTCAGTGCCCTGTTCCTGTCCTTACAATGTCCATCTTTGAGAAGCATGTATTGCTTTTACCTTCCAGTTGGTGAAAATGAAGCAGTGTGAGATCTGATTGATTCAAAGTGGCATGGAACATGCCAAATTGGAAGTAAAATACTCTGTCCTAACTACTTAATATATTTCATCTCTTGTGGATATTTTGTTTTCGTGGTTTTGTTATGTACCACTCATGTTTAAAAGTATTCACCCAAAAAATCCTTTGCAAGGATTTGATCTGAATAGTAAATAAAGCAATTCTTCACTAATAGATTGCCCCCTTTGTTTTTCTTATAAGCACAGCTCAACAGAAAGTGACCCAACACTTTTGGGTATTCACCTATTTTGAAAGATGTTAAGATACAGAAATTCTCACATCAGAAGATCTGGCATCTATCAAGTAAAGGTGGGATATCCAATATCCACAGGTGAGAGAAAGCAGCTGTTTATCAATTAAGATTGACTTCAACTGCATATGCCAAATAACATTGATTTAAGTAAGACTGTTATATAAATGAACCTCATGGCGATGGCATGGCTTCAGGGACCCAGGCTCTGCCATCCTTGCTATTTGCCTCACAGTTCAAGATGGCAGCTTCAAGCCCACCCAACAGGAAGGAATTAGGGAGGAAGAAAGAGATATGGGAGCTAAAGGCACAGCAGTTGTCTTTTGGCAACTTTCTCAGAAACTGTCCTTTATTCCTATTACTTGGATATAATTGATTCCAAGTGACCATATATAACTGCAAGGGAGTTGGGAACATATGGTGCTTCTAGCAGGTGGTCACGGACCCAGGCAAAAACTGGCAGTTCTGTCATGAGCAAGAAGAGAACAGAAATTGAGGTAGAAACCTGGTAGAGTCTGCCACACCCGACTAGTGTCACTGTAGGTGACCAGGGCTGAAAAGCTGCCATAGTTAAATTGGAAGCCTAGAATTCAGGAGGCCTGGCTCCTCTTCTCAATTCTAGCCAAGTGTCCAAGTATCCAAGTAATCTCATTTGTAAAACAGATAAATCATGGCTAAAAATTGAATGTGTGACATGTGTTTAAAAATATATAAAATAACCACTTGTTTAAAATGTCTGCTGAATTAATCACCTGATTAATTCAAACACACCTATAGGGAACACAATGGACAAAGCTTTGAGTCCAAAGTGGCATTCAAGGATGTCTAATTCAACCTCTTTCTCAATACAGGAATTTCTGCCACAGTGACCCTGACAGATGGCCCCTGTCTTGTGCTCAAGCACTCCTAGCTGTGTTATTTTGCAATTCCATTGATGGACAGTTCCAATTGTCAGAGTTTATCTGGGTGCTGATCTAAAAACTCCCTCCCTTTAGCCCCTGTCTTCTGAAACAACAGAGAACAAAGCCATTCTCTCCTCTTCGTGACAGTTGTTCAACTATTGATAGGTAGCTCTGACATCATCCCTTAGTCTCCTCTCCTTCAAGCTAAACATTCCTGATTGTTGCAATTGTTTAAGTAACTAGGTGTCCATCCACTCACCATCTGGCTATCTTTCTCTCCATTAGTGTTTCTTGAACTCTGTTGACTATGATCCATAGAAAGAAATCCACTTTGTATATCATCAGTCCACACATACATACACATAACTGAAACGTGGGTTGGGGGAGGGCTTATTTGTTTTAAAGCTGGTGGTTCCCTACTAAATGGATTTTATACTCACAAGTGGCAACCCAGAGTTTGAAAATCACTTCTCCAGTGCACTTTGTTCTGTAAATATTCTTAGAAGGTGGTTCCTTGATACTATAGACTGATCTGAGAAAGCAAAAGAGGCCTCTTGTAGGTAAGGAAAAAATGTCAGGAGTTTCTGCCCTCCCGTCATCAGGATAGATGATGGATCCTGCGGTCCTGAATGCATGCCTGATGGCATTCACCTGGAATAGGGTGTGGACAGATGTAGATAGGATTCACTGGGCTAAAGCTGTGCTTTTAAGAGCGGCGTCAGAGAAACACCAGTAGAAGCTGAGAAAGAAGCAGGAGAAGCCGAGGCTGAGAGAAGGCTGGAGAGCCCAGAGTGAGGACCTGCTGGGGGCCGGGAGGCTTGCAAGCCTCCCGGCCTCCCGGCGCCCCTGCCTGCTGTGTGACTGGTGGTCCCGGTGGAAACCTGCAAAACCACTGGGGACTCTGACTCCTCCTTGACCTGGTCTGCTGGATCATAGAAAACCTGCCCCGTGGCCATTCCTGACCTTACAATTGGCGTAAGTCAGCAAGATGATCCATGCAGACGGGTATTGGACCCCTTCGAAGACCTGGAGGGACTAAGGAGTAACAGACTGTTTGCCTGTGACTACACTGGAGGCGTCATGGTGGCACAGGAGATGGACAAGGTCCAGGAGCTGCAGGACGAGACCTTGCATGAAGGAGACACCCGAGAGGACCAGCCAAAGACCCCTGAGGCAGCAGAATCGTTGGGGAAGAGAGGACCACGATTCGGAGCTCGCCAGTGTTGATGCAGGGAGAGGCCAACGGACTTGGACTAATGGACTTGGACTGATGGACTTGGACTGATGGACTTGGACAGAAAATCCCTCCAGAAGGCGGAGGAACTTTGGCAAGTTAAGTTTTTGGGACCCTGGGGGAGAATGCTATTGTTTGTACACCCCAGGAGATGGGAATCTGGGGGTAGCCAGTGGGCCTTGATGGCCCAAAGCAGCCGTGTATGCCCAGCAGCTAGACAGAGGAAAAAAGCCAACTGAGAAGGCAAAAGCTGGTACTGATGCTGAGTTTGGGAAGCCCTGAGCAGCTGTTAAGCACTAAGTAAGCTGAGGAAGGCCAGTGAGTCTCGTAAAATCACCTGTGGGTGATGCCCTGCTCGTTGTCGGGTGAGGGTGAGGATCTGAGGAACCCGTCCTTGGGGGACAGATGGGGAACGTGGCTTGGGGTGGAGCCCAAGCCTAATGTAGAGTTTGGATCCAAGGATCCCTGACCCATGTGCTTGTGCAGTGGGTTGGCCTGAGTGCAGGGGTCTGCGAGCCGCATTGGTGGCTATGAAAGCCGAATGTTGGAGTGACAGTAGACAGAAACTCTGAGGGTTGGGTGATTACCCCCAAAGAGTAGAGAATCCCCAATCCAGCAGTGAGTGCATCCCCGGGGGTGGATGGGGTGTGTGGCTTGTAGCCGAGACTGCAGCCAGAGAAGGTCAGGAAGCCTGACAGCTCCTGGCATGTGACAGAGATGTCTGAGTGATTTCCCCTCCCTTGAATGAGCAGTGCCTTCGGCAGCAGATTTGGTGGATCATCAAATTATTGGTACCAATAATTGTCTTTTGCCACTAGGTTGGTACCCTGCCTGGACTTATTTGTGTTCTGTTGTATTTTGTTACATTGTGATGTATTTCATTTACTTTCATGGGCCATGGCTGCAGT